TATAGATGTTAGTAAAAGTTAATGTTTTTTGATTAATTTTGTGACTAAAATTAGTGCACTTACGACTCACTTCACATAAGAGCATACTGCATATTTGATTAGTTTTAAGCATGTTACTTAGTTCAGTTATCAACAGACAAAAACAATTGAATCTATATGTTTGCTTGGCACAACATCATCTAGAAGATGGTTGTGGTATGTGGGTGTGGCTGGGTGTGGCTGTGGCTGTGGCTGTGCGTGGGTGTTGGTGTGTATATTAGCCAAAGTAATAGCCACAATCCTATGCACACCCATACTCATATCCACAGCCCACACCCACACCACACCGACACCATTTTCTTGTCTCTTTATCTCTCTAGAAACCTTCCTCATAAGTGTTGATCGGCACATTGATGGCATCATGCTGACAAGCAGAATGTGGTCTATTCGAGCTTCACGTATTCGTTGCTGCTTTACTCTCACGATACTATCGATTCTTTATAATCGGTACAAACGTGAAGTCTAAGGCACAGAGACACATGCGTATGACCTTGCCCAGCGGCAGATTATTGCTAGAAACGGCAAGAACATCACGGTGTCCACGCGAAGAAATCACACTGCTAAGAGGTACACCTTTCTGGTAGCTGGCGTGCAAAAGAACGGTACCACAGCAATATATCATTATACACAATCATCTTCTTACCTTCTGCTATTCGGAAAGAAAGAACTTGATTTTTTCGATAACGGCGGATGCCATGGGTCATCACCCAATTACGAGAAATACGAGGGTGGATTGGAGGTGAGGGTGATTAAACACTTCAACTCCTGTCCTTACACCTAGAAATCAGTTTACTTGGAGTGGATGGGTTCGTTTGAGATGCAAAAAAACCATTCTCAAACTGAAATTTAAAAACTCGGTTTCATCGCATGTTCAGCTATGTTCCAAAAAGCTGTTTGAAAAACTAGAGAAAAGATATTCATGTGTCACATCACCTCTAATTTAAAAATTACAAAAGATTTCATAAAAGCAAAGGTCCTTATTGTTTTAATATTTACTCCAGGAAATATTGAGCTTTAAGTTCTTCAACCGATGCACTTGCGTATAGATTTTTCCATTCTATGATGGTATTGTCGTAGTTTTCTCTCGATGCTTTGTATTGAGCACCCTTTACTGAAGATAGAGCATCGTCTGAATTAGGTTCTCTCAATAATCGCAATATTTCCATGAAAACGTCGCGCATAGATGTTTTTTGCGACCAAGCTGTGCTCAATATGTCGTGGCAAATTTTCCCATCATCATTAATATTACAATGATAGATTTTTGTTATAAATCGAATTTCAGGTGGTTGTTGAGGATAGATTTGCGGAAACTCGATGAATAGCAGCCAACGACCATCTACATATGGCGTACCTATTTCACCATGCATGATCACTTTCCAGAAGAAAATGTTCTCTTTTGAAATAAACAGTTCGAAGTTTTTTAATTCAGATTTATTTAAATTATTTATTTCAAGCATAATTCGTCTTAATGATATGTTTGATGCACGTCCATCGCTTATTTTTGCCTGTTTTGATGCCACAGCTGGCTTGTCTAAGAACTTTGATTGGCGACGTTGAGGATGTGTTATTTTACCACACGTATTTTCATCTCGGTCTTGGATAGATATGGTCGCCTCCAGTTCAAATAAATTTAACATCGAATCCTGATCATGCGGAATATCAGCATAATAATAACCTTTTGTTTTTTCACAAAACTCAACCAAGACATCGTTTGGTTTTGAATCAAAGCTAATTGCATCAAAAACAACATTGTTACTCAATAACATTTCTAAGATATCTGATTGTGACGTCTTACTACAATTGTCAGCACCATCAGTTAAGCAGATTATTAGTTCTTTGCATGTTGGACTCAGCCTTGATTGGGCTTGTTCTCGAAATGATCGAATTTGTCTTATTGCAACATCAATAGCATCATATAATGGTGTGTCATAGCCGCATTCAGGTCGATTCTCTAATGCTCGATCAAAATAATTAAAGTCTCTTGTTATTTTGCACTGCACGACTATTCTCACATCTAACTGTGCTCTTGTGAATTTTTTTCTCAGTTCAAGAGCATCAGGTGATTCATCATCAGCTCCAAAGTAAATCAAACCAAGAGCATGTGGTAGCCTATAGGATACTAAGCGGTCGCGCCAAGCACCAAAAGCCATTGTACTTAAATCTAATAAAGTATGTTTTTTGTCTTCCGTACTAGTCATCACATGCATTGATCCACTGATATCAAATAGTATGCAAGTGACTTGCTCTATCTTTCTTATATCAGCAGCATTTTCTCTAATGACAACATGCGGTCGATGTGCAAGATGGTCAATTGTCTCGGCGTCGGCTTTTATAAAGTATTCAATTTTGTCTGTAGGGTCGAAACAAAGAAAACAATCTTTGTTATTTTTAGCTAAGCCTAGGACATATACAATATGACCATTGTTAAGTAATACGAATTGTGCATGATTGTGTTTGGATAACTTCGATGGATCAGCAAATGTAAATATACTGTAAAGATCATTTGTAGATAATAGTTGTTTGATGTCTTCCATATCATTGTCCGTCAGGCGTTGTAGGTTATGATTCTGTTGAGAAACATTAGCGATAGACAACAGATCAGTGTTGGTATTTGGCACCCATAACGTGTAATCAGTTGAGTATACCTCAAAGATTTTCTTCTCGTTTAACGAGCCGTTATTTTCTATAGTTGTTCCGAAATGTTTCAAAAGCAATAATAATCCGAAAAGATCCGTTTGTCGTTGATAATCATTTTCTGTTAATTGATCATCAGATCGTGCTTCCTCGTATTCCATTAATACAAAGCGATCAGAAGCACCAGTTACTTTTTTATTGTTAATTAATCTCACGGGATTAATCAAATACTTGGTAGATGTTGATTCCTGTGTAGTGGTTGTTTGAACTGATGTGCTTAAACGACTGATGAACTCAGCAATTTCGTAACAAGCATTTTCTATTGAAGTGTGATCTCCATTACGGAATATCCAACAGAACACATACGGTGTGTAAGCGAATAGCTCCGAATCAGGAACACGCTCAGGTAACAGTTTACGAAACATATGAAAGAATGCTTCACTCAGCAGCAGTTTCTCAAAGTTAAATAAGGCACCTTCAAGAGCATGTTTAAATGCTAGACAAGCTGGTGGAAATAGGTATCGGCGAAGGACTATTAAGAATTGTGGCATGTAAACATTATGAACACTGTCAAAATCCATATTTTTCTCGGTTAAAAATACTCTTGTTAATGCAAACATGGTATTCAAATAGATTAACATAGATTCGTCGCTTTGTAGAGCAGATTTAGGTTGCCATAATTCACTTTTTGTAAATATGCATTTTAAATTCTTTGTGTAATCATATATACGCGGTTCGAATTTCCGTTCACATTCGAACAAGTAGAAATGTGGAATGATTTCATCATTGATGGTAGTTAAACGCAAGAAATCGATGAGAGGTTCTGCTAGAAGTTGTTTGGTTTTAAATACATGCATACGATGATTAAATAGGAGTGGATAAGTTGTTGTGAACTCGATTTTTGCATGAATAGCATCATATAGATGTTTTAAAGTAGCATCATTGTTGAAACGAAGTTCACACACATCTCCTGATATTGTTTGAAATTTTGTGGTAAAACTGTTATTTTCAGTTTCTACCTTCAACGTTAATTCAGAAGACTCGAGGATACCGAGTCCCTCCAATGTGTCTGACGTGCTAAGTTCTTCACCTTTCTCGAATAAGATTAATGTTGCGTCTGCATTTATCTTAAACTCATTGCGCAAAATATCTAAAAATTCTTTGATCGTTGTCGTCGGATATGAAAAGCGCTTCGCCTTTTCATTAAATTTAACTTTTATGGTTTTTGACATAATAGCATGTAAAGAACCGATATGTTGTGAATTTCACTGGAATTCTTCAAACGAAAGATGTGGAATATTGTGAAATTTATCGATTGGAAAGAATATTTTTCAATCTATAAAATCCAGAAAAGGTTTTTTCCTTTGTTAATTTTTTCTCTAAAAACATTACGTGGCTGCAAACGTCTGCGAATAATGATATTGAACGAGTGGGCAAAAGATGCTCTCTGACACAGATGCATGTGACTCTAATAAACTGGGTAGTCTTTAATATTCTATGGTAGATTATGAGCGTCTGTGGGTGTTCGTTTCCCAACGCTTTGAAAAGTTGGGTGTTTGCGGCGTTTGGATGAATTACAAGTACTCCATATACGAACTTGTCTCAGTAAAATCATGATATTTTGGGAGTAGCTGGAATGCCAAATAGTTTCCGCAGTAGTGCTGCAAATTTCACCTTAGCTGTATTTTTCCTTTCGCATACTGCCATGCTCCTACAACAAAACTCATTTAGCATCAAAGCGTCGATGCGAAGTCGCATAAGTGCTTGTTAAGGCACATTCTCCATAAAGTTTTGCAACACTTCATTTTCAGAGAGTTGAATTTTGTTCATGCATATAGCTTTATGAAAATTCAATTGTGATCGAGTTGAACTTCTGTCGTTATTCAAGGTGCATTATTTGTTGTTTCCAGAGAGACGATAATTCATGTCATGAAATTAGTCTTTACACCCTCATAAGAACAACCGGATATTTATCATTTACGCAGTCACCACAAACATCCAACTTCTCAAAGAGTTGAGAAACCAGCTTCACAAAAATCTACATCTTACAAGGGAAGGTCCCTAGGTGTGTCCCGCCGATATTAATGAAACCATGTGGGTTTGTTAAGTCAAGTATATCTATCTCAAGTACGAAACAATTAGCGGCTACCGCTGAGCAGGTAAACAATTATAACCGAAACATTTTCCGAAAAATTGCCACATATGCTTTTCTATACAATTTTTTTGTCTTAAGGATTTCTTTTTCTTTTTTCAGTCATGATAACTAAAGGCGAGTTGCGTACCATTTTAAGAAGAACAAGTAGCTCTAAAAAATAGTTTGTCTCATTTATTGTACTGCGAATGACAAAAGAGAAAAGGTCCTGCGACTATTTATAGTCATATCCAGAAGTGGGGTGTGGGTGTGGGTGTGGGTGTGGGTGGGTATGGTGTGGCTGTGGCTGTGCTGTGGCTGTGGGGTGGGCGTGGGGGTGGGTGGGCGTGGGTGTGGGCGTGAGGGTCGGTGCGGATGTGGATTGTGGGTGGATGTGGGCGTGGGAGTCGGTGGAGATGTGAAGTGTGCGTGGGTGTGAGGGCGCAGGTCTCCTCTTAGCTGTAGTCACAGCGATACCCTGCAGCCAAACCCCACATCCACACGTACACCCACACCCACGCTTACACCTCCACTCACACCCACACTTACACCCACACCCATACTTACACCCTCAAATATCATCGAGAAATAATCATCCGCTCAGAAATTATGGCGTTTTGAAATTTTGCTCAAATTCTTGAGGCATTCGGAAAATTTTCTAAACGTCATAACATCTGAACGAATGGTTATTTCTCGATGAAATTTGAAATCTGTCGATGAAATTCAATGTAACTGACTATGATATGGCAACAGACCGAATACCACGAAAGGTAAAAACAAATTTTCAGGGTGTGCAAGCAAAAAAATTATCTTTTTTTCGCAAACTCCGATCACAGAAATTTTTCAAAAAACCTTACCATTTTGTTCCAATATCATCCTCCATAAGTTTCATCTTGGCCCATGCTCTGAACCTAAGATTTAACATATCATAAAATCCTAGATAAAACACTGCACACGCACTCCCTATCACGGTTTGTGATGGACGGTGAACGTTACTATGCTATCAGTAACGGTAAATTGGTTATATGTGTGATAGTTTCCGAATGAGAAGCCTAATTCGAGGATGGGATATTGATGAATGTGCGTGTAGACGGTCTTAATCATTTCTGTGACAGTCTCAACTTCACAAACATCCACACTCGCACGACACACCAAGTCTCAAAGAATTCAGCGCGGAAGAGGCTATTCTTGGACCGATCTTCAAATTAGGCTCTACATGGTATCCTACAACGTCCGATACCGATTCTTGAATGGCTTTGTAGTACTGAGTGTGTACTTTAAAGCTATAGACATCAGACTTCTATAGATCTGGCTTTTCTCTAAATGAGCCTCGCAGCAAACCATGATTATGACCAAAATCACATTTTTGACGAGGCCTCTTTGAGTCATCGGAACTATCTAGACAACTGAAAACTCTATCAGAGTATCAGGGTCAATGCTCTAGGACATCTCTCTTCAGTCAAAACTATAGTTTTGTAACACTATCCTCTCTTTTGGTTACGCATTTGATCAAAATATCGAAAAATGACGATTTTGTCATCCACTTGGTAGTATAGATCAACTCGTCAACAGCTCATTCGTTGGATTTCGTTTTTCTATGACTAATAGCACAATCTAAGATGAACTTTCAATAAAAATTTTAAGCGAAACGGATCTATTCTTGGAAATGTGTAGAGGTCACAAAAAATCGGAAAAAATGTCATTTTTCGCCGACGGGGTGCTCAGAAAAATTAAAATACTTCATGAACGGAGTAATATTTTTAAAATAGCTTGCATAGATATTCATCAAACACTTGCCCCTTTAATCTAAGTACAAACCAGGCAAATCGGTGATCAGCGATTGAGCACAGTCGCTTGCGACTACTCTGAAAGAAACAAGGCACCGTACGGTATCAAAAATAGTTCTGTAGGGTACCAACTTTTTTCCAATGTAGAAGTAGCACTTTGTTTTTACTTTCCCACATCAGTAAAGTAACTCAACTTTACTATATCTGATAAAGTAAAGTATTTCAATTTTACTTTAGCTGGTAAAGTACAGCATCTAAATTTGCTTCACCTTTGTAAAACAGGATCTATAGCAAACGTTGAAGCATATAGGGTAGAATTTGCATCGCCTCCTCCTTCCCGACAGACCGTGACAGAGAAAGTCCATACCCATCACAGATCATGACAGAAGGGCTCCAGCGACCATCACTGACCGTGACAGACATTTTGACGCACAACTTACGATTATATCACTAGAACCTCCTAAGGGTATATCAACTGCTTCCTTAATGCACTTCTACACTGGAAAAACGAAGGTGCCGTACCGAACCATTTTGTTTCAAAAATCGAAATCTTTGAAAAGGTTTCGTATGTACCGAAGTCAACTTCAAAATGATTTTCAGCGGTCTAGGAATTCTTTGTACAGGTACCATAGATCTATTACGAAACCCGAAGAAAAGTTTAGAATTCGTTTCAAAAATCGAAACTGTTTTTAGGTTTCGTACTATGTATGAAACTTTTTTACTTCTGTAGCAAGTACGAAACCTTTTTTATAGTCCACGAAACCCTCGTTGATTTAATATTCATACCAGTTTTTTCCAGTGTAGAGATTCAAGTGAAAAAAGGGGGAAAACAGATATTTCAAAGTACATCGAAGAAAACCATATTCACGTGACCAGTAACCACAGCTACATCGTGTTTCATATTTTAATCTCGCAGAGATGCACTAACAGCTTACTTGTAGTACAATCAAGATAAAGTGCCATTCCTATTCGTGACTTACGTTGAATACCTTATAAGAAAAATTCAACTTATCTTGAATTGAAATTGACACGAATTTAAATTTATCATAAATTATAAGAAAAATGTTGATGCTAATAAAAAATATATTTTATAATATAGAAACAAATTTCTCTCCTTCATTCTTTTATACTCATAATACGGAACCTTTTCTTTTTCTTTCTTCTTCTTCTAGAGTAGCATTGAAAAAGAAAAAAACACATTTTTTCTTGCCCGACAGTGATGCAAGTTTTACGTTGTTAAGAACGAAGAAAAAGTAAAAGAGAAAAAACATTCATGCCAAAGGAAAATAAAAAAAATAGTTCTCATTTTCAACAGGGAAAAAATGACGTATAATTATTCATTCTTAATAAAAAACGGTAACTCGTCCGTCATTTTTTTTCGTAATTCTGTTTATTGTTTGCTCCACGACTTTCGAGAAAAAACAAGTAACGTTCGCCGCTTCGACTCACTTGACCCTCGACTGAATAAAGCAAAAGTATTTTCTGCTGATACTGAACCGATAGGGCCGATCTACCAAATCTACCTCTGAATTGCGATGCAAATTTCTCCTCTTCAATTGTAAAAGTGTAAAAAACTGTTTTGTCTTTTTGTAATATAATTTTAAAGTAAATCTCATTTTCCAACTAAAATTCGTAACGAAAGTCAAATAATCTATATCTAAGTAAGCTTTAATTAATAAACTCTTCTAGTACAATAAATAGTACATATTGTAAAATGGTCATGTAACGAACCATATTAACTCAGCTTCGTAATACACGCTTATACAATAGTTATAACAATTTTTAGATTAAAAGTTTCATTTTATGAACATCACACAAGTATTATTGATTTATTAGCAATAACAAACGTGTAGTTGGGTAAAAAAAGAAATATTTAAACATCATATACTTAAAAAAATGGAAAAAAAAGCAAAATATTAAAACATTCGACATAATAATACAGCGAGAGTAATTACGAGATAAGTAGAATATAGATTGAAACATATAAGGAAAAAAGAAACAAGAAATAAAATATGAAAAGCGAAAACTAGAAATGTAAAAAAAACCTCTAACATGCGCCATATATGTGAAAATATAAGTTTTAATAATCATGAGTAAAACTTTATACAAGAAAGAAAAAAAAATATTAAACCTACTCAGAAAAACGACTTTGTGTCTCCAAATGTAGTTTATCTAGTCTTTCTATCTCGGTGAGTTGAGATTTACCCGGTTTAGTTAATAAAGCCTTGTAATCAAAAATGTCGCAGAATGGTCAAATCAGCCAAGCGTTTTACACGTGACAAAGATACATAAATTGCGGCAATATCATCATTTTCATTTGGTAGTTTCAAATCAATTACAACATTATTTAAAGTTTGATCATGGCTTTTATGTGTCGTAAAAGAGTAAGCAGGTGGGAGTGGTAGTGCACGCCGCTTTATTGATAAAATTGCCTTCCTATTTCATTTTGGTTTCTTATCTTTTGGTAGAACATCGGCAATATCAATTCAAAATGTTTGTTCCATTACCGGTATTAGAACGAGATTTGTTTGAAGTTGTTCAAGATTACATTCAATCTTCGATTTGGCAATTCCAACTAATGCCTATAGAAGTTGATGAATGTATTGTGTGTTGTTTGGAAATGTTTCGGAAAGAACTTCTGTTGACACAGAATCTTCTTCATAGACAAGTTGTCGAAAGATTCCATTTATTTCATTGATAAGACTCAGTTCAATCGCAATATTTTATGTTAAAATAACAGGCATTCCAGGAACAAAAGGTAAAAGACCTGGTAAATGTTCCGTTTTGCTGTCGGATAATTCTCACAATTTTTTAATGAGTGCCGAATCTTCAATTGGATTGCCTTTGTAAGTATCTTGAGCGACACATACCATGGATCTTTGTCCCATTTCTTTTGCGTTGCGAATTACTGCCTTGTTGTTCAATTGTGTTCCAACTTCATTCCGAAACACAAAAATTGGAGCCTAAAAAAGACGAAGATAGGGAATTATTGGAAATGGAAAATAAATCATACTTTATTCCAAGGTAAATCACGTAGAGAGCGACTCGTGTTAACAATAGCTCATAATCGCTGTAATTACATTGTCCATGACGGAGTCGTTCGAGTAATTGAAGGTACCGTGGATCTTCCGTTAGCATTTGTTGGGTATTTTTACGACGCAGTTAATTTGAAGAATTAAAGAACGTACAACACGTTGTTGAATTTCTTTTTCATTAGGCAATTTACTTGATGTGTTTTTCGACTGCAATGAAAAATCTGTATGTAATGATGCATGATACACAGGTCGATATCGTAAGTAGTCACCAAAGAAGAGAACATTTACACCACCGAATGGAACTTGCGGATCGACATGTTTTGCAGAACAAATGATTCGGTTGAGTTTTGCCAGTAAATTTAAACCCACCATACTCATTTCATGAATTAATAGATATTCGACAAGCCTCCATTCTTTTTCGAGTTTTGAATCACCTGATTTTATAGCTCGTGACTTTCCAGAATTACGCTGTTCATCCAAAAATGAATGATTTGTCATTCCACCAATTTCAGCAGCAGCAATTCCAGTTGGTGCAAGCTTTCGAGTCATTTGCATTCTCTTTGTAATTAGAAAGTATTTGCTGAGAGCATGAATAAGTTGTAATTTGCCTGTATCACCACATCCAGGTATGCACATTATAAACTGACCATTATTATCACCTAAAAATATTTTATATTTCAATTCGTGATATATTATTTTGTAAAAATACCTGTACGACAACGGTTGTCACCATCAATATGACTTGCTATTATCATGAATGCAGCTCGTTGTTCTTTATTCAATGTAAATTCATCAGCGGTGGGTTTTTGAGTGGGAAAGTTAGTTGTGACCGAGATCACTGGAAGAATGGAGCCATAATTTTCAAAACTGTTTTTATTATAATTATTCGGATTCACCACTGTTACGACGGCATCTTTTACAGCGTGTAAATCTAATGTATCATCTGCTTTGTTACAGTTGCCTGGGTGTGAGTGTGGGTGTGAGTGCAGATGTCGGTGAAGGAAAGACTTTCTCTATACCCACACCCACAATGTGGATATCAATTGGAGGTTTTGTTTATTTTGGTGCATTTGAAGTAGTTACATCATTATTCTTTTCTAACAAAAGTTAAATAAATCTCGTTTTTATTTGTTTTTGTTTTTTTTATAAATTTTCATGTTAAATCAGATTTTCCTTTCAGAAAAATATATTTATTTTAAATCAAAAACATATTGTTATTAATTTAAATATCTTAAATTAATTTTATTTTCAACGTGTTTATTAAATTAAATGAATTTATTTTGATTTATTTTTTGTCATGTTAATCATTTGTAGTATCTTAACATTAAGTTGATTGGTTGTTTTTAAATTAAAACTTCAAAATCAATAATATTCATGTAATTTAATTTCATCAAAGAATTTATTAATTGTCATGTATATTTCGAAACAATTTCTAATTGTCTAACAAATTTGTCATTAGACAATATTTGTATCTTTAACAAATTCTACCTTCATATAAAAAATGTCTTTCTAATGATTGTCTATCGATCTTTTAATTAGTTTTTACAATTAAAATGAAGCATAAGCAATTATTTTTCATTCTTAATTTAAAAAAATTCAATTAAGAAAGATCATTACTTTTATTGATAAAATTGTTTTTCTTAAGAAGTAAAATCTTTTAAGATAAATACAATTGTGTTCACATATGAAAATAATAATATCTACGATAAATTTTTATCTGAAATATCTTAAAATGATTTATATTAGAAGATATCATTAGAATATTCTAGAAAATCGAATACCGTGCTAACATATTTCAATAGTCTTGTTTTACAATATTCTTCCTTCGAACATTCGTCTTTTATAGAAATATTTATCATTAGAAAATTCAATAAACACTTTTCAACATTAATTGTGAAAATTATCAAAGAATGAGTCATGTTTCCCAATTAATCTCACTTAATTAGAAAAATAAGTTCTATTCAACTAAAATTTTCGGAAATTCTAATACACATTCCTTTATTTCATTGCAATAGCCTTCAACTTGATTGGTAAACTTTAAGATTACTTTTTATACTGACTATGTAGACAACAGTTCAAATAGTTCAATTAAATTCAGAAAGATTCTTTTCTATTCATATGTAAGATAAATCTTTGACAATGCTTTCTATATCATTTCAGATTCAGAGAGAATTTTATTTTCATAACAAATATCTAAATAAGTTCAAACAAGAGTAAATATTTTGCCAAATAAATTAAAGAAAATTATCTTGTTCGTTTTGAAATCTGTTTGACTTCATTGAACACGATTTCATAATGATGTTTTAACCAACGATAGACTATGACAAAACCTTATAAAAATAATATTGAAAAAAATCTTGCGCAAATGTCTCTCTTCTCTCACTTTCAATCAGCATAATGTGTGATCTCTGTAAATGCTGTCAATATCTATGTGCTCCGGATTATAAGATAAGATTTGTATTTTCGATGAAACATTCATTGATGTTTATTTAGGTACTTCATGTATCTTGAATGTAATTACTCACTTATAACATACATTTCTATAGGAGCGAGAGAATGGAGAGAGATGATAACAAGGAAAGAGGAAAGGAAGATTAGCAGAATGTGAGATCAATATCGGTACATCAACGTAGTATTTTTGTTTTTTCATTCTATTGCGATGCAAAATAGTCTATGTCGCGAAATCTTCGAATGATTTGCATCACTTATTTGTTAACCTGCATGATAGTATCGATTCGGTTAGCTCGTCTCATTACCAGCACTGATTCTACTCTCAAAATATAGTCTATAATTGAGTACAGACTGTATTGTAGATAAACTAAGGAACATGCACACTTACAGTTCTGGACAAATGTAGTCCACCTGAACTGGTTCAAATTCGATTTATGCTAAATTGATTTTTTTGTGTGTATGTGAGCCATGAGTTACCCTGTTCGCAAGCATTAATCATCTACCAATGGATTGCTTTATACTGGAGTTATGCATTGAACATTGTCTTCACCTTGTGATAACTATATCTCAACTGCTTTGGCACATTTATTTTCGCGAAAACTTTCATTCAAAAAATCTATCATCGAAAACTATCTCCAGTACAAATCTTGTAGAAAATTAAATTGACATGATTAAGGTATGATTTTGTTAATGAAAATCTTTGTCTATCCAATAAGTCAAGTTTTTGTCCGACGTATGTAACTCACAATGGAGATGTTTCAAGTGATAAGCGAAAAACCTAGATTTATTTACATCAAATGAAAGCTCTCAGCGCCAAACTAACAGGGTTAAAATATTAGCAGCCCTTGGCTTGTCTACAGAGAGATAATCGATTTTTACGATACTAGGAATCTGAGTATATATAGGAACATTATGATTATTTGCGTTAGTTTTTTGTGCATTCAATTGAATATTTCAGTAGTAGCTTGTAAGAATCTTTCTGAAATTAATCAATTACATTAAGACCACATTAATTGCAATGTCTTCTGAAGCTGAGGTATTATCGAGATAAAAGAAAAAAAACGTTATATGTTTGAGGCATGACCTGTATATTTGATATTTGAATTTAAAGTGCATTGATGCATCACTTGGTATTCAAACTGATAATCACTTTTCAATTGATGTTAAGATATCACAAAGAAATATAACTATTGCATCATAATTATTCTTGTTTTGTTCACTGCTATATCTAACGTGTAAAAAAGTTTATTTAACTATATTAAAACATGAATTTATTAAATATTGTTAAACATCTTCTCTACTTGACTCAAACTGAATATGGTTCAGAAAATCCTTCAACAACTGCTGATGAAATTTTGACTGCCGAACGATTATTCGAAGTTTTAAAATCTATAAATGTCAGCTACTTCACTGAACTGTATGCATATGACTCTCTCGATCTCGACGATGAATATGATGAACTGACTGATGAAGAACAGAGCAATGATGACATCAATGATTATAATGAAAATGAACATTCTGATATAAATGATCATTTTACATTAGAGGAAATGGAAAAAATAGTCGAATAGGTTGACCAACATCCAAATGCTGGACTTGCAACCATTTCACATAGATTTAAAAAGGTCAAATACATGTATTATATTATAAGATTCAGACAATACATCGAAAACAACGGCACAAGATTAGAAAAATTAAATCAAATTAAAGAATTTATGATTAATGAGTTCTATTTGAAAAGAACGGTTGAAAAAGAATCCGTTCATGATGCTGACCTAGAATAATATGCAATTCAAAAAGCAAGAGAATTAAATTGGAATACCTTCAAGGCAAGCAAATCATTTATCAACATTTTTAAAAAAGAAAACAGAATATCATCCAGACGATACAACAAAATTATTACTCGAACTAACCCAAACAGAAAAAATTGCACTCTAAATGGTTCGTAAACTTATTTGGTCTTTAAATCCACATGTCTTAATGCAAGAAACGCATATTTTTAGGTGCTCATAGTTGGATTGAAAATAAAAGAAGTTTCATTTCAAAGTATCCGTCTCATCAAATTTTAAATAGCGATCACTGTTCATTTCAACAAGAGTATATTCCGCCAAGAACTTTTTCTTTTACTGGTGAAAGAACAACAGAAGTAGTTGCAAGAAAGAAATATAATGTCACACATTCTTATACAATTCAACCAGTAACATCAGCTAATGGCCTTTTATTAGACCAGTTTTTACTTGTACTTCAAGAAAAAGAAAATACTCTAGGGAAAAGAGTACAAAAAAATTTAATAATACCACCAAGTGTTGTAGTAAAAGCTTCAAAATCAGGAAAAAGCAATGACGAAAACCATCACGCTTTTTTAAATGAAGTTCTGCGTCCATTTGTTGGTAAAAAATTTCTTCTCTTTCTTGATGCTTGGAAAACTCAAGCTGATCTAACGAAATTTAGAGCAGTATTTCCGCATCAAGGCAGTCAATTATTGATTTTTCCTGAAGGATCTACCGGTTATATTCAACCACAGGATCTGTCTTTATTTTGGTCATGGCGATTTATTCATGAAAAAATTGAACATTATACTCATTAACCGAACAGAAATAACTATAAGTGATCGTCAATATTTTATCAACATACATTCTGTTATTCATAATCAATTATCGGCTCCACCATTTACAAATCTAATTAAGAATGAATTCATACAAGCTCGAATAACAAATGAAACAATTGGACAGATAGAAAAACCAAAAGATGTTTGCTTCTAGTACTATGATCTGTATTGTTCAATTAACAACTGTAGCGAACGAACACTATTAAAATGTGCCTGGTGCGAAAAAGCTCTATGTTACTATCATCTGATTGAAGATATACATCTGCACTTGTAGAACATTTTCTAAAATAACATATTGTATAATACATTGTTATGCATTGAAAAAAGAATAGAACTATCTATAAGTTTAAGATTCTGATAACTGCTCACTGATCTTTATTTATATTGGTATTACTTAAACTTCAGACGATACTGAAATTAATGTGATCTTAATGTAATTGATTAATTTCAGAAAGGTTCTTATAACTTACTACTGAAATATTCAAATGAATGCACAAAAAACTAATGCAAATAATCATGATGTTCCTATATATACTCAGATAGCTAGTATCGTAAAAATCGATTATCTCTCTGTAGACAAGCCAAGGGCCGCTAATATTTTAACCCTGTTAGTTTGGCACTGAGAGCTTTCATTTGATGTAAATAAATCTAGGTTTTTCGCTTATCATTTGAAACACCTCCATTGTTAGTGCCTTACAATGAGCTTTGGATACATAAAACTGTGAACATAGGACTTTGTTTCTGTCTCAGAAAATCACCTAAAATCAGCTCTACAACAAGACAAACAAATAGAGTTAATTTAGCTCCAAATATATATAAGAGTTCTAGTTAGAAAACCAAAATGATTTCTGTTAAACGTTCATGAGTTAACTGAACCTTTTCCTTATTCGAGAATTTATTGGAACATATGAGAACAATCAATCATTTTATTCGATGATCAACAAATTGCAAGTTGTGTACCTGCGATAATATAGAACTAGAGTCATCTAAACTGGTTGTCATTAACAAAGAAACAACAAATATTGTGCAACATTACTGATTCGCCAAACTTTCTCGAATCATCTGATCACTACTTAATATATACAGACGATAATACCGCTTTCAATTCAAAATTGATTTTAAAAAGATTATGTCAACGGCGAGCTCTTTACCAATTCATAAATGATTCAAGATCGTCTTCGTATCGAAACATAAATAGGGACCATACTTTGATGTTAACAAAGGTACTAACATCATGAAATGTTCGACCAGCACTGTTAAAATATGGTGCGAAAGATCAAAAACCGACTAAACATCTTGAGACAAACGGAAATCGACGATTTGGGTGTGTGGGTGTGAACATAGAAAATATCGACACCCACACCCACCCACACCCACATCCACATCCACACTCACACTATCGATCATGAGAAAGAATATTTTATCTCTTTGACAAATATGGGTAATACATTGCGACCGAGCTAAAAATCATCTTTATTCTTTTGTAACTGTTGGCTTCAGCAAAGAATCAGTACAATCTTTTTTTAAATATTCTTGAGCTCTTTCGATACTGTGAAGAGTGCTCGCCAAATCTGGATGATCGAAAGGAAGAGATTTTTTCTGAATTTCGTGTGCTTTCTTGTATGAAGACAAAGCGCTCGAGTAGTGTTCCATTGAAAAATGAACTTCACCGATTTTGTAATAAGTAATGGCTAAAGAAGGATCATCATCAGATAGTTGTTCGAGCTCCATTTGAAGAGTTCTTTCATAGAAAGAAAGTGCCATTGAATACTCTTTCGTCGCCTCATACACTTTCCCTATGTTGAAATAATTGACAGACAAAGATGATTGGTCCAATGAAACATCTTGCTGTTCAATTTCAAGTGCTTTGTTATAGAATGACAGAGCAGATGCATAATCTTTCATCGAGCAATGAATAGAAGCGATATTTCCGTACGTGACAGCCAAGAATGGATGATTAGCAGGAAGACTTTTACTTTCAACATCCAAAGTCTTTTCATAAAATGAGAGAGCGACCGAATAGTTTTCTATATTTTCATACACGTGACCGAGATTGCTGTAAACAGGAGCTAAACCTCGATAATCGGTTGGATAATATTTTTCTCGAATTCCAAGAGTTTTTTCATAAGAAGATAGAGCAGCAGAATAATCTTCCATCGAGTAATATGTGTCACCCATGCTAGTAAACGTTGTAGCTAATGAAAGCTGATTCGGTGACAATGAATTTTGTTCAATTGATAATGCCTTTTCATAAAACGAAATCGCTTTCGAGTAGTCACCCATCGCATCGTATACAGTACCAATATTATTGTAGGTTATTCCAAGTTCATTATCATTTGGCTCGAGTATTCTTTGTTCGATTTTAAGTGTCTTCTCATAAAATGAAATGGCAGTGGTATAATCATTCACTCCATGATAGATTTCAGCGGTGAGATTGTACGTAGATGCTAACAACGAATCATCAAGATTTGATGACCCTTCAAGTATTTTAACAGCTTGTCGGACAGACGAGACTGTCATGTCATGATCATTCATAGAGAAATGCGTCCGACCGATCTTTTTGTAGATAGAAGCGAGCGATCCATTATCTACTGGAACAGTTTTCTGTTCCTGATTGAGAGATTTATCATAGAAACAGAGAGCTGTTGAATAGTTCTTCAGAGATTCGTGTGCTTGACCAACATTATTGTACACAAGAGCCAAGCTAGAATGATCGCTTGGAAAATATTTTTCTCGGATGTCAAGACTTTTTTCAAAAGCCGATAAAGCAGCTGAATAGTTCCTCATGCACATATGTGCATTACCGATGTTAGTATAAGTTACTGCTAATGAAAGTTGTCTCGGTGCGACGGAATTCTGCTCAATTAACAGAGCTTTTTCATAAAACAAAATAGCTCTTGAGTAGTTATTCATTGCATCATATACAGTACCAATATTATTGCAAGCTATTCCAAGTGCAATATCATTTGGTTTTAGTATTCTTTCTTGGATTGCAAGTGCTTTTTCATAAAACAACATAGCAGCTAAATGATTATTTGTACTTTTACGTATTGCAGCGATGAAACTGTACGTAGATGCTAACAAAGGATCGTTGGAATCAGCTGAGTCTTTGAAGATGTCGAGAGTTTTTTGGAAAAATGATAATGCAATTTCTTGATCATTCCTATAGAAAGGCGTTTGACCAATATTGTTGTATGTAGAGGCGATGGAACGATGATTTGATGGAAGAGTTTTCTGTTGTATATTCAAAGCTTTCTCGAAAAACGAGAAGGCATTTGTGTAATTTTCCATAGCTCGATACGTTGATCCGATATTGATGTAGGTGGAAGCCAAGTCTGGATGATCAGGAGAAAGAATTTTTTGTTGAATTTCCAATGCTTTTTGACAGAATATAAGTGCATTTGGTAGGTCATCCAGAAGATTATAAGCGAGACCCACATGACTGTAGATAGTAGCCAAATCAGGATGAACAGAAAGAAGAGATTTTTCACGGATTTCAAGTGCTTTTTGAAAACATGATAATGCAATCGAATACTCTGACATTGCTAAGTGCACTGTACCAATATTAATATAGATAGTGGCAAATAATAATTGATTGAAACAAATTGATTGGTTCAAAGTATTGATACTCTTATGATAAAATTCCAAGGCATCTTTGTAGTTATGCATGCAATAATACGCTTCACCCATACTATTCAAAATAATAGCCGAAGCAGCATGGCTTAAATTCAGAGATTCTTTTTGAATTTCAAATGTTTTTTGAAAGAACACTAGAGCTTGAGAATTATCTCCTAACTCTAGATGAATGTAACCAATATTATGATAGATTATTGCTAAATTTGTATCATTCGATAAATGTTGTTTAAGTTGAATTTCTAGTGCTTTCTGAGAAGAATCAAGTGCGTTCTTAAAGTCTCCCATATATCGATATAATGTACCGATGTTATCGTACGTAGTTGCTATCGTTGGATGATCAGGTGGAAGTGATTTTTTTATAATTTCAAGCGATTTTTGATAAAATACGAGTGCCTCTGTATAATCTCCCATATATTGATATGCTTGTGCAATATTATTGTTCGTCGTAGCTAGTAATGGATGCAATGAAGGCATTAATTTCTGTTCGATTGCTAATGCCTTCTGATAATATGAAAGTGCTTTGAATGGATCATTTAATGATCGGTACACAAGCGCTATGTTGTTATAAGTTGTTGCTAAATGTACATGATCAGAAGGATAAATTTTGTGTTGAATTTCGAGAGCTTTTTCATAGAATGAAAGTGCATTTAAATGATCTCCCATTTCACGATAAACTTCACCCATATTGCCATATATAACGGCTAAATATGAATCATCGTCCATTAAGCTAACATTTTTCTGTCGAATATCAAGCGCATTTCGATAATATGAAAGGGCTTCAGTTTGATTTCCTTTGAATTTCTTGATAGATCCGAGTTGACAATAGACGCGAGCTAAATTTTTCAAATCGTCAATAAGCGTGATATCAAGTAATTTCTCATAAAATTCTTCAGCTTTATCGAATTTACCAATTTTAATCATCAAATTACCTAATCGATCCCAACCACTTATTCCTTGCAGATCATTTCGAATGTAATTGGTAAGATGTATTAATTTCTCATCTCTGTCATCAGTTAGCTGCAAGTCCACTTCCCAAAATCGATCTTCAATTTGTTTCATATTTCCAATCCGAAAAACTGTATGCATCGAAAATAGTACTTCTTCTTCCGATTGATGGAAACTGATATTTTTCAACGAAGCAAATGGCGTTGATGATATTTTAGGATCAATATGTAGTCGAAAGAGAATAGCAGTCATTGATACATCTTGTCGGCAAGAATCAGCATAGAATAACGACACTTGTTCATTAGTGCTCGTCGATAAAAAACTATTAAATGATAACAGACCACCGATATTTTGTTTAAGTTTTTTGAATTCAAGGTTACATATGCCCTGACCACGATATAGAGTTTGTTGGTTATTATCTTTAACAGATTTATCATAAAGATCTTTCATTTGTTGATGAAGATCTCGCATAAAAAAACCCATTTTAATAATCACTTCTGCATCTTGTAATCGCAAAGCTCGATTGAGTACAGAATAGATAAAGTACTCTTTTGTGTACCACCAGATTGGTGAATGTTGCTCATATTCGGATTCAAATTTGCGAATGGACTCTATCACGCTATTGTTACCAGAGTAATTGTGATAATAAAAGTCAATCAATTCTTTTGTTGCACATTTTTCATGTGTTACATCAAGAACGATTTCTTGGAGCAATTGTGTGTACATAAATGATGAATCTAAATCATTTAATTCATTTGTTGAAATATTGGTTGCTGGAAAAATACTAATTGGAAATAATTCATTTTCACAACGTCCGATATCATGATGGATTGAGTCACTGACTTTACTAATTTTCTCGAAGGTTCCTTTTATCTTCTTCCATTTGTTGATCCATTCGGTACGTTGCAATTGTGAAGAACATAGAATATAAATGGAATTAAGTTGGCAATTTTCATGAATTAGTGGTATTAGATGTTCACCAACAGTGTTTTGTACAATCAAAAAGATCTTCTCATTTTCTCTATCAGTGAGAAAATCAACACATTCATCTGAATTTGTAAAGGTATGAACGGAACTAAGAGTAGAAGAAAATTGACGTAAACAACATGGACGATCAATTACTAAATCGTTATCATTTGATATTAACCAAATAACTAACGTATTCTCGAGAAATCGATGCCGTTCATATTGTACTTGTTTTTCAGTATTACACAGCAATAAATTTTGTGTATTCACCACCAAAGTATTATCAGGTTTAAACTTTTTTGCTATCATTTCTTATTATAAATTGCACGCAGTTTTTAAGATTTCTTTTTACATTTACTTACAACATTCTGCAATGCCACGTGCTTCTATGGGTTGTTTTTATTTAGCTGCTGAGCGCGTCATCACTAAAACAATTATTAATGTAGCTATGTAAACAGTGTTGCGACGAGAAAAGAAAAAAATTCTTTAGTCTTTTTCATATTCCGATTGGACGGGAATGGTTTCACGTCTTTGTGTAGGTACTGAGATTTGACGATGAACGGAAAATTCATGTGAACAGGAGTTTTTCACAAAAAATCAGGAGAAAAAACAGGAGATTTTGATTTGCGCGCACTCAGAGTAAAAAAACTGAAAATCTTTGACACCACGGGACATCATGCTTTCTCCAACAGTGGATAAGCAATTTGGCTCAGTTACATCGACATTAGAAAATATGTTCAGCATTTCCCCCTATAAACAGATATAATTTTTCTCACGACACTTTTAACAGTCGGAATTCATAGTGGGGCGTGTGTGGGTGGATGTGTGAGTGTGGGTGATAAGGGTGAGGGTGCTCGTGATGGCAATGATGTTAGAAGTTGACAGATTCATCCACATCCTCAAGTGTAAACTAAAAGAAAGACAAATTCATTGCTAAACTATTGATTTTATTGAACAAAAAAAATCTATTCTTTTTCTGACTTTGATCATATTTGAAATATGAAAAAATTTAAATTATCCTATTTCATATAGATAAAAGATTATATCAATAAGTTCAAATAAATTCTCATTACTTATAGTATTCTACTCATACATTCTAGAATAAGAGAAAGATTTTTTATTAATTATAAAGTTGCAATATGAAAACTTCCTTGCAGAGTTGGAACCGGTCCGGCAATCCGGTTCCTGTCCGGCCGGACCGGACCAGACAAGACCGGACAAGAAGTTAAACTGGCCCGGACAGGATCGGATTTTTGCCAGTTCATCATTACAAAATTGCTGTTTTCACCCAAGAATTTTCTCTACTGAAAACGGCTTTTTTATGATATTTTCAAGTCAGAAGAATGTATTTGCAAAAAACTCAATAGATATCTTATCTTCAACTTGACTATAAACGATTAATTGTTCTCTTTATATCTCTATCGATTTCTTTCTCGTGTATTACTCAGTTTAATCTTGATCAAATAATTTATTCTCTTCTTCTATTTAGGCAGCTGCCTGAATCGAGAAAAATAAATATTTACGTTTTTGCGTTAGATTTGTTAAACTTGCTTTTTTTTTCATTTTTGAAATTGAAATGAAAAAAACCCAGGAGGGTGTGGGTGTGGGTGTCGGTGTTGGTGTCGGTGTAGTCAAGAGATACACTGCAGCCGCACCCACACCCACACCCACACCCACACCCACACCCACACCCACACCCACACCCACACCCA